CCTACATCTTGGATGCCCTTGAGGTAAGCTAAAACATACCAAAAAATTCATTTCAAAGTGAACTATCCCTTTAAGTTCGCCATATCATGATTTGAACACAAAGATCAAGCTCAAAGTGCCTGTATTGCATGCAAATATCCTCAAAAGCTCTCCAGGAGATATTTCCTTGGTAAACTACGACGTCTGCATGGATCTGCTCTTTAATAAACTGTCAACTCATGCAGCTTCTACACTTATAGAGTATTTATGAAAACCTGGTGTCTTTTTCTCACCATTGAAGCTTGAAGACATTAGATTCTTACACTCGGTTTCACAAACATTAGTTGTGTTAGAATCACATAACATGTCAGCGGCTCCTGGCAGACTGTTTAATAAGAGCTCATGCACTGGGGTTATGATTTCTGTAACGAGAGCTACGACCCTAATCTGACCCCGTCTGTGAACCCTTCATAAGTCAGGAGGGCTAAGACCAATTAGGGTGGGATCGTTTACAGGGGATGACACTCTCCGAACGAGAAAGTGAGAAAACATGCCCCAATTACCGGCCGGTGATGTCACCACTCGCGGTCAGACACGCTTGACTCTTACGTGACGTGACAGATGCGCTGCGAGCCCCACTGTACATGTGAAAGATAGCGCTAGCTTCCGTGGCCAACATGCAGAGCAACCTCATGAAAGGGAGGAGGAGGCATAAGCTTCACGACATAAAATTCATTCACCGGCTTTGACCGATGATTTCCATTTTGCACATTTCATATTGAGATATGATAAAGTATTTCCCTTAATTCATTAGCACATCAGTCTAGCCGACTTGCGTTGCACGGAGAGATTTAGCAAAGGAAGAGAGAGAGTGAAGGTTAAGCCAAAGGCACACTAGACTCCATCTCCCCCTGAGGTATGTTTATTCGATTAGAGTCACAGTGGGATGAAGAGTCTAAGAGATAGTTTCTCATGTTTGGCTTTGCCCATACATACTCCCCTGAAACTGGCCAAATGTATCTTCAGGGGCAGATAACCTAGAGCTGAAATTTCACTGTTAAAAGCAAAGCGTGTGTCCTCGCTTTTAGATATCTTTCTATTGATTTGCTCTGCTATGTGAACAGCCTGTATCTAAGGTGGCTTGGTATCAGCGGGTTTGGATGTTTGTATTCAAGGGTGAATACTTCAGAACCCAACCTCACCACATTCACCTGTTGATCTACAATGTGCTCATCAAGATGTTACATAACACACTATTGTATTGTCGATTTCTATGGCCATGTCAACGGCTAATTCTGCTATGTTATTGTTTGGATTTTATGGGTGTTGGACATTATATTGAATGTTCCATTCATGAGGAAAATTGGATGATCGAGCAGGCCCACAGGAGCGCTTTGCAACAGACTGAATTTAATCGCAGATATTGGGTGCTTAGGCTTTCAGTTTCGGAAGAAGACATAAACTGAGTGCGATTATTCAATAACAGCTGCCAGTGTTGCCGCAGCTGAGGATGAACTACTAATTTTGTCATTTCTGCAGAACCTTCATTGCTGTGTTACCATGAGAACAATAAGAATGCAGAAGGTGGAAGACCATTAATATAATGAGACACAGCAAGAATATATATATATATATATATATATATATATATATATATATATATATATAAACAAGCAAAATGAAGTAGCGAGCTTGCATTATGCAGTTTTGAGTTCGAAATTCATTTGTATAATTCATACAACTATAATTAATTCCACAAAATGGGTATCTCTTCCATTTATGGAAATGCGATTTTAGCTTAACTTATAAAAAAGTTGAACTTTTAACAGTTCACTTATCGCTAGCTATGTGCTGAAGATCATGCCACTACACTTGTTTCAACCCAAATTTGGGTCAAATATGGACAAACTCAAATGTTGGGTTAAAAATGTAATTAAAAAAATGTACAGTTGAAAGTGAAAGTTGAAGTTGGGTTCAAATTTTAAATGACATTTTTAACCCAACATTTGGGTTAGTCCATATTTGACCCAAATTTGGGTTAAAACAACCCAGCATCATTTAGAGTGTAGGTGTCCATTACAAAGAGAGTTTAATGCTGGTATTTCTAAAAATATCCAGTTTTCAATTATCAGTCGTTTACTGACATGGTAACAGGGATGGCATTTTCAGATCTCCCCCTACACACAATTGTCATTTAAGATAAAATAAATAAGAGGTAGAGAGTGAGTCCTTGAAGAGATCATATGTTGACAATATGTACAATTGTCCATAATTTTAATACGTTGGAGTTCATAACCTGGGAAAACAATATGGTTTCACTTAATTTTGATGGTCCCTGTAACACGTTCTGTTGACTATAACGCCGTAACTACATGTCTGCTAACTCTCATCAGAGTGTTAGTCGAGTATTAGTAGACTGGTAGGGTTAGAATAAGTTGAAACGTAGTTGCAAAGTCACTTAGAATATCTGTTGAGGGACCATTACAATAAAGAGTTAATAAATATTAAGCAGACAGTCTACTAATACTCTGATGAGAGTTAGTTGACATGTAGTTGCAAAGTAATAAAGTGTTACCAACCATATATATTAAATGATTGTGATTTTAACAGTAAAAGACTGTAAAAATGCTACAGTGAAAAACTGTTAATTGGGTAACAGAAAGTTTCCTTATATACGGTAAATAACTGTGATATATATAATGGTACATTTAATGCAATTTTACTGTAAAATACTGTTAAATTTACAGTTTTTGGAAGTGAAAAAGAACAAGTCATTGTATAATTTACAGTGAAAAAAATGTAAATTGACATTCCCACAATTCCCTGCGTGACACTTCACATTTAATGTATTTTAACGGTTTCTTTATAATTTTCTTAGTTTTTTTTTCTAATCAGTTATGTACATTAGGGTTTTGTGTTACATTTAATGTTGTTAAATTAATACTTATTGCATTTTTATTTTAAATTTCAACATGTTACCATGATGGTGTTCAATGTTTGTGTGAATGACACTGCAGCTTCTATCTATAGTAGTGTGAATTTTCTCATGGAAGAGCTGATTATGATGAGCTTAGATTGATCTTTTGATATCAGATAATGAAATACAGTTTATTGCTGTAAAATTAAATATGGTTAAAAGTCTTTTAAACCTACAATGTTGCTACCGTATTTTTAACAGGACAACTCTGCTGCTCAGCTGCTATTTTTTTTTCCGTAAATTTAACGGATTTTTTTTTTTTTTTTTTTACAGTGTGGTAGAAAGGAACAAAATAAACACACGCACAAATACATACATAAATACATTTATATCTGCATTTGAGTTGATGCATTATGAAATACGTGTATAATAGCAAAGCAAAACTTTTCATTGTTTACACGTTAACGAAGGACACAAAATGCACCAATACTAAACGCCCACCTTCAGCTCACTATCAAATACAGTAATGCAGTGGCCCCTATGGGTTACCTTCTGCACAGCAATTTTATATATTTCTTGTGGGTTCAGTTTACAATTTATCAGCCTATGCAATGAAATTTTCAATTGTTGCAATGTGATTCACTGTTGATGACCAAACTCGATTTAATGACTTCTTTTAATTTACGATTGAAAACGCTGAGTAGAGTGCGCCAATACGACCAAAAGATCCAGAGAAAAAACTGTCCTGTTGCACGTTTCGCAAAATCATGCTTCATGATTAGAGAATTTCGCAGGGAGAAGATTGGAGCAGCGGCAGTGCGGGGTCGCGCGCTGTCCGCGGTGCTGAACTCTCTGAGGCGACCTACTGAAGATGAAACGCTCCTCTGTTCTCATTCCTCTCCGCACTCAACTTAGTCTCAGACGATGCTTTTCTGTCTGCTCTGGCGGTGCGAGCCTCTCCAATGTAGATAAACTTACTTTCGCTCTGGGGAAACGTAATGCCATCGAATCTAATCTCGTTTATTAACTTGACATCAAATTGTTTTCTCGGCGGAGGTGCCGAACACCAAATGGCGTTATACTGTTTTACCTGCAGTATTTGGGAGTTGATTTAAATGTCGCGGATGACTAGATGATCACGAGAAGGAAGTGTACATATGTTTTGGATCTTTTCCCCTTCCTTTTGAGGTCTCTAAATGATCGGGGGAATCATTATTGCGTTTCTGGATATGTCATTTCTGAAGTGGACATGATCAGCATTCATTTGTAAATAATAGAGACATTCGGATTATCTGTTGTATTGGAGTAAGCACATTTTTTTTTTTGCACCAACCCGAATTGGAATGATTTTTTTGGAGTTTATCATCATGAAGGTGTACTTGTTCGTTTGATTACGATTCCAACAAAGTGGAACCAGACATTTTAACGCGGTAAGTCTAGTCCAGCCACTTGGTTAAAGGCATATTCGTGTTTATTGCAATACTTCAATGCAATATTTAATTCATATTGCATGACCATGGTTATATTACTTGCTTAAAATGCATTTATATTTACATTCAAGGCGGACAGTCTCTGCACATATACATTCAGCATGCCTGAGGCAGTCATTTTATTATAGACTAGGCTAGACATTGACAATAGACTATCTTTCAGTGTAAAAGGGAAACTCTTCATTTAAAGTGCTTTCCTCTGCCAGCTTCTTAGTGCGTGCAGAATCTCGCACTACTGTGCCGTTTTATGCTTAATTTCTCGTGCTTTCACGAGTGAAGAGGCATTTGGACTGAAGCCCATTACGCACTCGTTAATGACACAGGAACCGTGTCGTTTCTTCAGGGCTCTTGGAGCAGTCGAAATTCAGAGCGTGGAAATGTACGGACATGGTCAATGCACATCTGCAGTGAGGAATTAAGCTGGGGAGCTACCTGTTGTCCCCGAGAATAGACATCCTGGCTAACTTTGTTGAGCAGAGCACTGTCTGTAATGGCTGTGATTATCTGGGTTTCTGTTTGCGTTGATTTACTTTGTTCTTCGTGGGCTTTTTCCCGTGCACACGCAAGTAATATTTTCAATACCCCCACCAGAGAAAGCATTTAGGAGGAAAACACACCACGTTTACGTGAGCTGACTCTTCATCAGTGCATTCTGTATGGGAACAAATGACAGATCTTTACCAGAGATTAACCAGTGATACCGGGGAGTGCTGTAACACTGGGTGAGTTGTAACACCTTTTGTTTAACAGGGGTGAAACCACTAACATACCTGACCCCCCATCCTCATGGGGAGACCGTAGACGTTTTATTTACAGGTCAGGCAATTTCACTTTCCTCAAAATAGCTTTTATGTCTGGTTTAGAATTTGATTTCCAAAGCAGATCAATCAGAATGTATTTAATTTGAAATGAAACATGTATTTTCTGATATCTGCACGTGTAGTTTGTGACTAACGACAGGATTGGGAGGGTTGTAACACTTCCCAGTGTGTGTGTGTATTTATGATATTTGTAAATCAATTTGACTGGCACAACAAATTCATACTAAAATTTAATAGGTGTTGCAACTCATACCAGTAGCCTATAACAGGACTCTGTACCTGACACTAATTTATACAGTTTGGGTTTATAGTATATTTTCAAAACTACTTTGTAGCAGATCACTGTAAAAAAAAATACTTCAAGATTTGTTATCACAACATTTTTTTCTTTTGTCAAATCAACTTAAATAATTTATTTAGTTCAGATAACTTATTATTTTGAGTTTCTGATGATTAAATCAATCTCCTTCATTGCATTAACTCACTTTTTCCAGTTCAATCAACTTCAAATTTTAAGGCAACTGCAATTGTAGATTTGAGACAGTGCAAAAAAAAAAAAAAAAAAAAATAGATTTTTGTTACAACACTCCTCCATTCACTTGAGGTTACATTTCTCAAGAAAACCATACCATGATCATTGTGACATTCTTTTTATGAGTTAAGATAAAGAAAGTGCATGTCCAGTTATCAAGCTACGGGTTGTTTACATTTCTTTCAGTGTCATATTTGCAGCATGGAGACTTACAACTTAAGGGACCTGAGACACTCTCCTTGAATGCGCCAAGACTGCCGCGGCAAAGGATGGGCCCTTTTCTCCCGGCGATTTGCGTCGTGCTGCTCGCCCTGAACGCCGCCGTCTCACCGGCCTCTGTCGGCCCTGAGGACTATCCCGCCGCGGAAGAGGCTGAGAGAACTGCCAACAATGACATCATTTTCGATGACTACCGAGGGAAAGGCTGCGTGGATGACAGTGGCTTTGTGTACAAGCTCGGGGAACGCTTCTTCCCTGGCCACTCGAACTGCCCGTGCATGTGCACGGAGGACGGACCTGTCTGTGACCAACCCGAGTGCCCTAAAATACACCCCAAGTGCACCAAGGTGGAACACAACGGGTGTTGCCCCGAATGCAAGGAGGTCAAAAACTTCTGCGAATACAGAGGGAAGACTTATAAAATCCTGGAGGAGTTCAAGGTAGGATCACGCTGCCTCCCGATTACCAGAATTGCAAAATGATTAGGTTACTTTATTAATATAGCATTGCATTTTGTAACCCACAGCCTTTGCATGAATTATTATGTGCGTCTTGCACTACAGATAAATCTTCAACCACGTATAGTGGAGGATCATGGGGAGCTCCAAATGGAAAAAAGCCTTTCTATTATTCTTGAATTGTGGGTGGATTGTATTTTACAGAGTTTGAATTGTTTACTCAAGTCTGCATATTGCACATGTCTGGCTCTGAGACAGCATTCATGACAATATGAATCTTGCTTGACGTAGCTTTCAAGAATACATATCCACGAGTGCACCAACTATGTCCTCAAATACAGCGTATTAGTCTGTAGGTGGGTCCGTGTATGAGTGCTTGTGGGATAGTTTTGTTGTTGTTTTACTCAAGCTCTTCATGATAAGTCCTATCCATCACTATCAACTGTAATTTGATTAGAACTGTGCCACAATCCACTTGACAAAGCAATCCATTTAAAAGTAGCATGCATTTTCTCTTGACTTTAAATTCTAGTTATTTATATTGATCAGAGGAAGAAAGCAAGCCAATCAATCATACAACAAAGCACTGAAGCATTCTTAAAAAGAGACCCATCAGCCATACACATGAGTGTCGTGCTGCATGACGAACCATTCTACTAACTCGAGACTCAGAAGACATAGAATTTACAAATATACGAGGCATTCAGTATTTCATGACCGCTTTATACATGTTGTTGTAAGCTCTTTGGTGAACAGCATATTGCCGCATTTATTTACCATAGTCTATTAAAGGTACAATATGCAAGATTGTTTCGCCACCAGGGGTCGCTAACTTCTTACAATAACAAAGGCGTATATTAATGACGTATAGACCCCTTTTGCGCCGACGTCACAGTTACGTCACGGTGCTAGCTGGAGGCAAAACAAAGTGAAAACTGGAGGCGGCCAATGCAAACCAGCACTGATTCGGCTACATAATAAGGAGCTTAAATGACTTTTATTATTTTTAAATGTCATCTTATTGTGTTGTTTGGTGCAAGTATCAATGCTGTATCTGGATTTTTTATTTCTAGAAAATATTCACATGATTAAAATCGCACCGTAATGTACATTGTCATCTTCTCTGCCCTGGCTCGGCAGAACTGCGGATCATACACACAAGTCTTATACAGGACCATTCAGCACATAGTTAGAGGCATCTAAAGATTTATATGCCATCAGTTTCTCTTTACGATCGGTTTCTCTATAAGGTAGATGTAGAAGTCAGGCCACTCACCCGAGGTAACGTAACGTTAATCCTGTCCGATCGTCCATGCATTGAGTGAGCGTGTAGGCGGCTACGGGTCCTCCAATCTGGTTCTGTCCGTTAAAAATAACTTTTGGAAATAACAATCACGGTCCTGGAGATTGAGTGACCTTACACATTAAGATAAAATCTGATTTTCTCCAGTCATTGTTAAAAAACAAGCTAATAAAACTTGCTAACTAGCGTTAGTGAAGCAGCCAGAGGGATCGCTCTGCCTCCACCTAAGCTCCGCCCACATAAAAACGTCACCATGTTTACCAACTGAAAAGGGGTCTACATTCCGCATTAAACAGAATTATGGATCTTGTCGTCAAGCTGATGGATCTTTTATGGATGAGTGAATACACTGATGTTTTTAACATGACAGTAGGACGCAGGGCGCGATTGCTAGACGTATACTCGCACAACACGCAACGCGAGTCCCGCGGATATAAAGGAATAAGGACATTCAATTCTACCGAACTACACAAAAGTGCTGAATTACTCACACAGGTCAGTTTATTAGAGGAATTAAACTTGAGGTAACAGCTTCACTTGCTCTAACAGTTTCACTATCACACTAAACGGCATTTGAGTGTGTTGAATGTTGTTAGTTAGATTGTCTGTTGGCTGACTAAGCTAGATCAACATTAGAGAGTAACATACAGATCATATTCTAACTTTTCATCATGTTGAACTATACATTGATTAGTTTTATATACATTGATTTGCTCACCTGTTTGCTCAAGTAACATGCAACACTCGCGTCTCTAAGTCGAAGTTAGTCGTAGGGCTGTCGCGGTAACCGCAATATTGTAGTACCGCGCTTCTGACCAGTCCCTCCAGGATTTCACGAATTTTTTTTTGTGATTTTTGCGATCAAAATGACTGATTTTGTGGTGGTAATTTCCAAAAATTTGTGAAAAAATTTGCGATTTATATATAACATTTACCATAATAGTATTCAGTCCTTCCAGAAAAACGCGGAGTTTTTTTTTGTGATTGTTGCGGGCAAAAATTGATTGATTACGCAAGCCGGTTTTCTTAAAAAATGCAATGGAATATGTGGGATATTTATGCAATTTTATGCGATGAAATTGCAGGAATTTGCAAAAATTAAGGGCACTTGCAAAAATTGCGGTTTGATGAAAAAGAGAAAAAAAAGTGATTCCCCAACATCCTGTTCTCACTCGGCTAATGTAAGAGTCATTTCTTATTACTTCCTTTGATAAGGAAGCATCATAGAAAGTGCTGGGAATATTTAATTTCTCATCTTGTTTTATTTCGTACTGTAACGAGTGTAAATAAGGTGTGGCCCCTTTAAGAGCTGCGCGCTCCCTGTTGAACTCTCTGCAGTGTTATATGTGCGCCTCGAACACCCCATGTGTGCGGGTAATTTCTGTTTGATGCTACTTCTGTTTGATGCTACTTTGATGTTCTGTTTGATGCTACTTCTTTTATCTTATGTTGTTTAAGTAACGACGTGGCGGTAGAACGTGTGACAGACAGTTATACGAGTTCGATTTGTGAGATGTCAATCGCCTCCGTGAGTCTGTCTGGCGTCGCGTAATTGCGTCACTTCATAACGTTCCCATGGAAACAGGGGGAAATGGCTGCTCTTGTGTGAAGCAAACGCAACATTTTTCAACTTTCTGCTAAGATACATGTGACTTTTTTTGCAACGAAAATGCGAGAATTATGAAATTATGCAAACCCCGCATATTTTGCACGGAAATCTGCAATTTATGCGGCGTATTTTGAAAAAATGCGGCCCCCGCATAAATATGCGGACTTTGGCTGATTTTGCATTGAATTCAGCGATCGCATAATCGCGTTTTTCTGGAGGGACTGTCTGACATGTCAACCGCAGAGGATTGCACGTAATCGCAGCAACCGCAATATTCACGTTTTTTTTTTTTTTTATAAGGCTATACCCTTCTTCTTTTGAACTTAATGCATGTGTATTGAATGTTAAACAAGTTCCTAATGATAACAAGACTGTTTATCATAGTGTTGTGTAGCCTACAGGCTTCACACAGACAGCTAGTGAATGAGAGAGATCGGCAGAGCGCGTGCAATTACCAGCGTCTGTCTTTGAAGTCGTGAAAAGCTTGTCGTGTCAAAGGGAAGCGAAATATTTGTCGCGTCATCATTTTAACGTTCTCTACACGGGTATTTTCCCATAAATGCGCGTCAGCAGCAGCGCTGGTCAGCATCCCACAGCATAAAATCAGTGAGTCACGCATTGAATCAATGCTATATGGGTCTCTAATAAGTGAAGCATCAGCTTCAGCGTTGCCCATGTGACGCATTGCTGCTCAGCTGAGCCTTGAAAAGTAGAACCTCAAAGTTAAAAATAATTAACATCTTGTTTCTTTACATCTCTTTTAATGAATCAGCTTTTTTAAACGTGTTCGTTGAATGAACGACTCGCTCAAAGTCCGTTGTCATAACAATATGCGCGCTGAGTGAAAGTCTTTCAATGCGCATACTGTGTGTTTAGTTTCGGTTACATTGGTAACTGAAAATGTCCTCATTTTTGTCCACATCGTAAACTTTATTTATATAGCAACAAATACATATAAATTAAATAAATAAATGGCGGTAATACCGCAAATCGCGCTATTGAGCCACTCAACATTACCGCAAGGGAAATTCCATAACCGCGACAGCCCTAGTTAGTCGCGGACGTGGAGCTCTCGGCATCTGGAAAGATGTTGATCTTCGTTTTAGTCCTCTTTTTGTCTCAAAGTCCGCTTGCTGTGGTCCATAATGTTTGAACAGAACCCTGCTAGGGACGCTCACGCTGTTGAGCACGCATAATGGCATAACCGACCCAGTTGTCCACGTCTGTCGCCATGGTTACTATTGCAGTACGAGGTCAAACCCTGGCGGAAACCGGAGGTAACGCGGATATGACGTCATTGACTGGCAACTCCTCACCCCTGCTCCCATGCCCCGTGTTTCGCCGCAATTTTCTCACGATTTACAAATAGTTGGAAACATTTGGGATATTGTAAGTAATCAACTAAACAAAATATATAACATTGGCCTAGTGTTTTTTTTTTTTTGATATTTTTACTGCAAAAATCCTGCATATTGTACCTTTAAGCAGCTGCATGTACTAGATATTTGTCTAATACTATATAATGTACATAAAACATAACACTAACACTAACAACAACAGGACCCTTGTTTACGCGTCGTGGACTGATGCATTTTCTACATGCAGGGATGCAGATAGCTGGTGGTACATATGTTATTTTTTCATACCAGAAGACTCTTAGAAGTATTAGTTTTCAGCCTAAGCCACACAAAATGGTTTTTGTAACATACAATGTCAGAGAATTGAAACTTGCAACACTAAGAAAACGACAGAGATCACAACAGATGCCCTTGATCACAGAATGTTCACTTTAACCAACAAATTGTTTCCTATAGGGTTAATGTGGGCTGTTTCAGCAACTGCAAACTCTAATATAAGTTTTAGATATCAACAAAGGACAAAGCAATAAATCATCAGACACTAAATTATGCACCTCTTAGATTAGAGTTTCCAGCACATGTTAGCACCATTTATGAATTTCATCTCTCTCTCGAACTCTAAATTCAGTACCCTTTGGCAGCATTTTTTTATCCTGTCACTATATATAATATGTATGTTTTACATGAATTTTTAT